TCTTCTGTATCTTTGTTCAGGATGGCAAATATTGCCATGATAGCAGTTTTCCATACTTTAAGGTAAACAAAGTCGATAAAAATATCACTTTTTTACACTTTCGCTCAAGATAGCAAATTTGATCAAAACATCATTATCCACATGTTTCTTATTTTTATTTGGTACCATAAATGACTGACAAACAATTTAGACACCAAACAAAATTTCAAGAATAAAATGACTTTATTGTCTTTAATATACACTGTACAATAAAAAGCAAGATAAATTAAAAGAAAGTTCCATTGGCCTCTGCAGGGCACTGCATGTACCACAAAATATATGCCTTTAAATAAAAAGCACATACAATGTGAAACTATCTAAATTCATAAGTGTATAAGAATGTACATTGGGTTTGAAAGTGCAAGTCAACACTAGCTGGTTCATAATTATCTAAGGTTGGTACAGGTAAAACGTAACTCCATTTGAGTGGTATACTTCAAATATACTCTTTCTAGATTCAATTGATACTATTGGCAAATATTAATGGTTGTACGATGACAACACGTACACATCACTCCCAATGTAGATGTGACATCCTCACTAATGGACAGAACATCAACCACAGGAAATTAAATTAGCCTCAAATTATAATGACAAGAGATATTCCTCTAATTATTATTTATAAGAACTTGTTTTCATCTGATAAATATTATCCACTACCCAAAATAGGCAGTGAATAATATTATATAGTGTACCTAGTGCTATTCACTTACCCCAAGGGGAGATACATCTGTATGATTCATTTTTAACCAAATCAGTTATATAAAAATATTTCTTGTAAATAAAATGAGTTACTATGCGAAAGCTCTGTGCATTTCTATGATTTGGGTACGACTTTGATATATTTTTACCCAGCAGTAAACACTTATAAGGTTAATTTTGTCACCTTTTTAGGATGTACATGTATTTTATTTTTACAGGTGCTTCATTTACTGCTGAACTTTAAAACTAGCATGAAATGACACCCCAATTTTACTCTCATGCTATAGGTAGCCAAAAGCTTTTCAAGTTATGAAAGCAAATCTGCTATCCACTGATACTTGTATTATTATTATTATTATTATTATTATATCACTGTAAATAATATGATTTGGTGAAATTCTTGTATTATTATATGACCATAAATAATTTCTTACATTTATTTTTTTTACTAAAATCAAATTATTTGCTAAAAATTTGAGCAATTTTTTTCTGATTCACATGATCAGCTGTTTTGCTTGCAGTATTGGACTGATTAAATATCCAAATTATCCAAACACAATCTATACACTATGAAAGCTCTGTAGAACTTCTTTAATTCATCATCATTATTGTTGTTATTGGCATGTAGGTGATTAAAATTTAAGCCATGCTTATCAAAAAACTGTTATCACACACGGTATTTTTTTTTTTGGCATAAAACATAACTGCACTCTTTTTTCGTAAAATATGCCAAGAACAAAATAGGATCATGGCATTTGGAGTCCAGTATTATTACTCTACTATGGGGTGTATTGGCTAGGTTTAGTCCTCGGAGTGGCACTTTTAAGGCAGTGCTTAGGGTAACCCTAGGATCTGTCACCACTGCGGAAAGTGGATGCAGATGTATCTCCAGTTACATATGTTGGGTGAATGGACACAACGACTGAAAATATAGCTGCATTTACAGGCTACTAGATGGAAGGTTTTTAAAATTCAGTAAAGTTGCCAAGTTACAGAGTGATTCGGTGCAAACTACCAAAGACAGCTCTGCAAAGATGGCAAATTTTGCAGACATTTGTCTGGTAAAGGAAAGTTTGTGGCTCCACCATACCATACAAAGGTCATTGACATTATGTGACTTTGTGTCAACACTTTATTTCAAATCAGACTAATCACAAACAGCGTAAGAACCTAGCCAATCACAAAACGCTGACATACACGCATGTCTTTGTGACCCTGTGGGATTCAAACTTGATATTGTGCACTAATTCTCAGACGGCATGCTCTATACAGAAGGTTTAGAGTGTCTGCAACACAGGCAAGATCTTCATTGGATTGTGACAAATCACTCTGAGATTTGGTAATTTACCTAGTTTTAACGTGGCTCCTTCCCATGGGTGTCAAAGGATACTCACTTACTACATTGTAGGTCTTCATCAAAACTCAAAAAATTGTGCAATTGTCTACTGAGTAAATATGGTTCTAGGAACTTAACTGAAAAGGAACTGAATCATGATGCATGTCAACTTCAACTTGAGTGTTATTATTATTTTGTACATTTTTATCTAAAATGTCTTCTTCTTTTCTGAATGTTCTTCAAAAAATTATCTGTGTTATGCTTATGATCAAGTTCCTTTTTCTATTGTAAGTGGTGGGTGCCAGAGCAAACTCAGGAGCATCATCTGGTGCTCCTTCAGGTTTGATGTTGGTCTCACTGTGTGCTCTATTACCATTATTTTCACTTCATTGGCTTTGACACCATGCAACTTTGCGGTCCAACTGGGCCATTAAACCATTAACCTCAATGCTCTGCCAGGAAAGTGGCCTTACACAGAGATTTTCCCTGTTTGGGAGGTCCTCATCTGAACCTGAAGAATTACCTTCGTGCCACTCTGATACAGCTGTTTCAGACAAAGACTCCTCTTATGACATATATGCAACGGACATACATGCAAGGTACTTGTCCTTGTCTGACTAACTGATGCTAATTGACTCCCTCAGAGCATATTGGCCCTTTAATTTTTTTTCTGAAAGAAAAATGAAGAGCCATGATTTAGCAGCCAACAAGTAACCCACAGTTGGTAAACAAACATGTACTGCTCACACTCAGTGTAAATGACTGGGTTGCAGAACAATGACACGATGCTAAAAGCTGAAAACACTCTCTTAATCAAAGGAACAGTTTGAGGATATTTGTGAGAAAAATTTCTCCCTGCATTTTATTCCTACTAACTTTTTCATTAACTATATAATATGTTTTTTGGAACAGGTGTTAAAGTAGAGAGCAGAAATGCCTCTTTCTGTTGAATCTGCATTTATTTCATTAAGACTCTTTTAAGTGTAAATAAAAACTGAAATAAATTAATTCCCCTGTCATTCAAGAGCAGAACTGATAGTGTCCCACAGGTCACCAGGCTCTAACAGAGCACAGCCATGACTCAACTGTACACATAAATCGTAAAACCGGTCAGAACCTGAGAAACGTAACATTAAGGCAACCCACATGTTGCTTAGAACAATAATTAATTACCGGTAATTGTGGTTATTTGGCATGATAAAGCCAAAGCATTTACTCGCAAAATGAACTAAGGCTTCAAGATCTGGCAAGTGCCGTCATTCGCAAAATGAGCCAAAATTAAGATCTCACAATATCACTGAACCATATTTATACAGCATAAGAGTTTTGGATGGTACAATTTATGAAAGAAGAATCAATTGTCATTTAAATGTGGAACAATAATACGGTGGTCACTCAGAAGGACACATAGGCTTCAAGATCTGGCATACCCCGTCACTCGCAAAATGAACCAAAATTAAGATCTCACAATATCACTGAACCATATGTATAAACCATAAGAGTTTTGGATGGTACAATTTATGAAAGAAGAATCAATTGTCATTTAAATGTGGAACAATAATACGGTGGTCACTCAGAAGGACACATAGGCTTCAAGATCTGGCATACGCCGTCACTCACAAATTGAACCAAAATTAAGATCTCACAATATCACTGAACCATATGTATAAACCATAAGAGTTTTGGATGGTACAATTTATGAAAGAAGAATCAATTGTCATTTAAATGTGGAACAATAATACGGTGGTCACTCAGAGGGACACATGGGCTTCAAGATCTGGCAAGTGCGGTCACTCACAAAATGAAAAAAAATTAAGATCTCACAGTATCACTGAACCATATGTATAAACCATGAGAGTTTTGGATGGTACAATTTATGAAAGAAGAATCACTTGTCATTTAAATGTGGAACAATAATACGGTGGTCACTCAGAATGACACATACTGTAGGCTTCAAGATCTGGCAAGTGCCGTCACTCGCAAAATGAACCAAAATTAAGATCTCACAGTATCACTGAAACCATATGTATAAACCATAAGAATTTTGGATGGTACAATTTATGAAATAAGAATCATGTGTCATTTAAATGTGGAACAATAATACAATGGTCACTCAGAATGACACATATGCTTCAAGATCTGGCAAACTTATGGCGTCACTTGCAAAATGAACCAAATTAAGATTTCACAATATCACTGAACCATAATTATGTATAGATGTAAAACAAGAGTTTTTGACTGTCAAAAATTCAAAAGGAAAATCATTTGTCATTTGAAATGTAGTAGAATATTGAAAAATAAATTATAGTGACCACTGCTTTGTCAAGTGCTGTCACCTGAAAAGTACAGTAACCCCAAAGATCTAACATATTAACTCAGCTGTACAACAAGCCAAATTACTGAATTATGGACATGCTAAGGTCACATCACCGACTTATATTGGTGTAAAAGAAATGTTTGCCTGTACAGCTCAAGATCTGGCTACTTAAGATTATTCCATTAATGAAGACGATGCGCAACAAAGAGTACAGTTATTTCTCCAGTAAACAAAAAGGAATCAATCAATGGCATATCTGTGCATGCATCTTAAATTTTAAGATTTATCTTTGAGGTTTTAAGCTTACCCAAAGTTATTAGAAAACCAAAGTAAGTAAACGAACCACGATATCAAGAAGAACATACCTTTCTGCAATCCAGCTGAGTTGATGACTTGGAAACAGGCTTTATGTGAAGAATATCGCAACTGATCACTGTCTCTCGAAAATAACAAAGGTATAAATCGTAATAGAACAGCTGAATAGAAAGACAGGCTTTCTATTATCCGAAAATAACAAAACTACTCGTTTTGCAACGCCGTATAGCTCACTTGCACGATGACGTCACACGCGCAAAGAGTTCTGGTAGTTGTAGTCATTGATCCAAG